AGTCAAGAATACCCATTCAGGGCAAGAACCATCCATCCATCCATCATCTATACCCGCTTCTTCTTTTCAGGGTCACAGGGTCACTGTGTGAGGGGCAGGAGACACCCTGGACAGGTTGCAAGTCCATCACAGGGACACATAAGGCAAGAACGTGGGTATTAGTGTCAGTGGTTGCAGAATTAAAGCTTATATAGTTACAAACTAAGATGCAGATCCTGTATAGACACCAAACAGAAGATAAGCTTTTAAACATTAAGTATCTTTTGATTCTGACTCCGTGAGAAAAGATCCACAAAGTAATGAAATTTCCTCTTGAAGATCTACAGCACAGGCAGGTTTGTATTGTTGTTCTGTAATGTACACCATGTACCAGCAGGGGGCAGCATCCCTACGATTTGAATTTAGTATAAGTAGTACGTTTCTAAGCATTAAAAATATGTCTTAAAGAGGCAATATACATTTTTATTGTCTCACATCTTATCACACAAGTGCAAAGCATCCTGAGCTACATGTCCAGCAATAAGTAAAGTTGGACACAAACTATAAATATGTTAACATCCAAAGATGCAGGAAAATAGACCACTTGCATATTTTACCATTCCATATTGCAGTTTAAAGAAAAGGCTTTCGTAGAAACAGCTGAAAAGCTGAACTTCAGATGCATGAAGAAAATAAAGATTAACATCTGAGGCCTGTTTATTTACAAAAATACTTCAACAATATGCAGATAAACTCCAGTGACCCGATTTAAAGTACAGTTTGTTTAGATTGCACAAAAGATTTCCCTATTTAAATAAAATATATCAAGAAAAAGTAACAACTACGGAGGGATAAAATTGCTTTTTCTTCAAACGAATTTCACATTTTTTACAATAAAAGAAAATTAAATGGGATCCTTCTCATGCTGTCTAAAAACACCCAAGTATTACAGGTGTTTCCAGAAGTGCATCAGTTCAAAAAACCTCACACAAAAACATGTTCACAAACAAACAAGACCAAAAACATTCTGATAATTTTATAAAATGTCAAATACAGCTGGAGCTTCTGAGGTTTTAAGTCATTAGAATATTTAATTTCTTGCACACAGAATAAATAATAAAACGTTGAAACGGATTATGTTGATAGAAATGAACCCTGTTTGAATCAGACGTGACTAATTTCATGTCCTTCCAACAGAAATCAGGACAAAATATTTCATGAAGTTACTGGTAAAAATGTAAGTATCATTCATTGATTCGTTTATTAAAGCACCTCTCCTTGCATGCTGAAGTTTTAAACAAAGATCTTACACAGTTAGTTAGTGCTTGGATTGTTAGGACTCATTTACTTCCATTTGAGCTCAAAATTAAGGTCAAATAGCAAGAGTTTTATTAAAGTTCATCTGGTGGTTCCAGATGTGCTGCTAACAGAACAAAATACACACAGAACACATCTGCATGATCGACAACAGATGATTGACAGGTGCTGTCCTCTAGAGAACAATTTAGTTACTACAGTTTCAGATGCCAAACTAAAAAAAAAAAAAAAAACATATTCCCGATGAATTTGTACCGTGTCCCGCATGAGGAGGGGTGGGACCATTGATATATATGACTGGATTGGACCTCACGTGACCTGGGCGTGGCTTCACAGGTGGGATTTTTATGCATTGAGCTAACACTAACGCTAAACATTGAAATCAATGAGCAGAACGTAGCACGGTGCAAACAAACACTTTATAAATGTACAAATGGTACAAATACTTTGCTATAAACTGCAGAAATTGTTACAATATATTTGCAGGAGATAAAAGGGTTATGTTTCACAGGTAAATATTACGCATATTTAACCAAAATTTATTATTTTAATGGTAAAACCTGTACGCTAACATTAAACAGCTTCAATGTTCATGTTTAACCTTATTTAAAATCGATTTTATCTGTTGTCAAATATATTATTTACTAATATTAAGCATATAAATATGGACTTTATTGGATTGATGACCAGTTAGACTGTATATAAATTCAGAAATTCTGATGTAGACTCACTAATGACAGACACTAAATTATTGAGCATCATAAACATAAATAATCATGTTGTCAGACAGGTCGGTGTATTCAGAGATTTTCTACATCCAGTATTTGTGTTTTTCAACATTTCCAGAGAAAAAGGAGGAAAAAACATGTGTACCAGCTGTGGGTCAGCTTCAGATACAGCCTGCATCATTGTGAAACTGAAGAATAATTCTTTGTGATAAAAATAAATTCATTAAACAATTCTTTGTGACATGAAATAATTTGTCTTTTTAGTTTGTATTTACTGATGTTAAAATTATTGTAGTTTACAGCAAAAACTTTTATAGTTGCACATATATATATTTTTGAAAAATTAATTTTATTATTTTAAATGTTTAAGACTCAGTTCTGATTAATAAATATTTTTATGAATACCCAGCTGGTCAGAACTCATTGATTTCTATGAAAAAACACCTGTGAATCACAAAATACTTAGTTTAAGCCACTGTTTTAGTCATTTAAATTAGTTATCTATTTTAAATTTCCATAAATATAAAATTCCTAATTTCCTCAGCTTTATTTTGTACCAGAGTTTGTAAAAATCAAGCAAGAATTAAGGAAGTTAGACAACTCACAGTCTATTGAGCTCCATTCATTTTGTTGAGGCTCCTCAATGCAGAACAGAGCTCCAGTGTGAGCACGTACATGTAGCTAGCAACACATTAGCCACACCTAATCCAGTAATATATATCAATGGGTGGGACATTCACAAGTCCCACATTACATTTGACAAATGCTGGTTTTTGTATGGGACAAACAAACAGATGCTTGAAGAAGATATTCATCTGTAAATTATATCTACAGAAATGTTCTCATCTCTGCATCATGTCAAACACAAAGCATGTTTGTTTGCCAAAACTGAAGCTAATGCTGCAGCCGTCCTGCCACTAGGAAGAGGAGTCTCGACCGTCCACAGCTCAATGGTCCAACCAGCCCAGTATTGGGCTCAGAACCAAAATAAGTTAATCTACATCTGACAAAATAAACTCTGCTGAAATGTATTGCAGTGGACAGTAGCTTTAGAACATTATTTTTAAATGGTAAATGGACTGTACTTATACAGCACCTCTCTCATATCCAGGACACTCAAAGCTCTTCACTCTACAACCTGTGTCCTCATTTACCCATTCACACAGCACTCTGTTAGGTCTCTACAGAGCTAACATGTACAATCATCTATAGAGACTAATCAGTGCCAATCACATTCATACACTGATGGGACACATCAGAGGCGTTAAGGGTGTTTTGCCCAAGGACACAACAACTGAGACAGCTGGACGGGGGATTGAACCGGTGACTTTCCGGTTCCTGGATGACTCCCCTAACCACTCTGCCACAGCTGCCCCATAACATCTGTATTATTTATCGTTTTTAATATCATACTTGTCACAATTATAAATACAATTTCATTTGCACCTTGAATTTGCACTAATTTGTGCTTATAGGATGGAATAATAAATAAGATGGAAAATAAAAAGTTGGACTGACAAAGAAAGAACACAAAGTCACAAAGCTCAGAGTGGAAGAGATACAGGAGCAGCTCAACAAGGAGAGAGTTACTGATGCTGGAAGTGAAATGGTCTACAGTCAGATATGGGTTTGTAAGGTTAGGTCTGTTTATTTGTATGTGTACTTCTTCTGTGTTATGAACCTAGCAGATGTCTCAGGGTTAGCCTGATTTGTAAAGCCTGAAACATACTCACTCCGACACCGACGGGCCGACGTGCGGTCACGTGGTTGTTCGGCAGTTGTTTTCGCACAGACATAGTCCCTATGACACCCCGCACCGAGTTCAGGAAACCCCCCTCCCTGAAACATACGTCACTGCATGGAATCCCCCGCAACAGCCGACAACGCAGAAAAAAAAAGACACTCGTCACTCACCCAACGCATTTATCCACATCTGTCCTGGTTAAAGCTCCACAGTTTTTATCAGTCAGATTCCTCCGTGCACGTCTGTTTTATCTCCATTCATGAGTTTTTCACGGAATGACTGTCTTTACAAAACTCTACTTCCTGGTGTCGGCTCTGGGAGCGAGTCTGGGTTTTTTCCCCTCTTTTTTTTTTTTACCGAGTGCAGCAGCGCATTCAGCACAAACAAACAAGCCATAAGTTTTTCACGGTTTGACTATCTTATAAAACTCTGCTTTCTAGTCTGGGAGCGAGTCGTTTTTTTTCTTTTTTCCCCCCTGGAGCGCAGCGCAAACAAACACACCCACGACCAATCAGACCAATCACACATTACCGTCGACACGTGAGGGGGGTCCAAAAGTTCTGCCGGTGGGTTGTGCCAAAAGGGGCTGTCGACTCGACACCGAGAAGCCCGGTGACATAATTTTCGTCATTAAACTGCGACAACCCGTGCCGATGTCGGCAGTTCGCAGCGAGTATGTTTCAGGCTTTACTATATTTATGGTGCTAAGCAAAGGTTAGTTTGTGCTAAAAGTACAGTATGATGAAACAAAGACAAACAAGGTGCTCATTAAGGATGATGCAGTTTTTAAGTATAACCTGACAAAAAGTATGGAGTCACCAGTCTTGGATGAGCACTCATTCAGACATTTCATTCTGTAAAACAAACTCAGATCAAAAACATGATACAATAATGAGGTCATCCTAAAGTGCAACTTTGATCCCAAAGTTTAATAATAAGCAATAGTGATTCCATACTTTTTGCCAGGGGTTGTATTTTCTCAGATAAAGTAAAGTCAGTGATTTTATGTTGTTTTATGAAAATCTAAGAATTTAGTAAAATGTAATTCAAATGGCTGGAAAATGCATAGTTTTATAGAGCAGATCTTTTTCAAAACTCCCCAGACCATCCTAGGACCACTTTGAGCAGCTGGTGGTCTCTAATATATACAGGTGTCTCTCATGAATCAACAAATGTTGGAAAGTATGCTGATGGTGGAACACAAAAGATTTGGCGAGGCACCAATTTATGACTTAAATCTTATTTTTCACCAGACTTTGGGGGAAAAAAAAAAAGAAACAGAAAAGAAAACATGTCCTGAATGACTCAGATTCTACACCAGCATACAAAGCCTGTCCATTAGAGGTCACCAATAAAATAATGTTTGATTGATTGTTCTCCAACAATAAACAATAAATTAATTACAAATACGGAGCAGTGATTTGGTTGAGAAATCAAAGAAGCCAGTTCTGAAGTGATTAATGGAGAACAATGTCAGGGAGATGTTAGAGGGAGTTAGCTGAGCTGCTTTAGAACCTGGAACTGATCCAGAGGCAACTTTTAAAAAGGCACACACACATTCAGAAACGTAGACATACACACGCATATACATAAACCCACCCAGAGGAAGTAGAGCACATTGGTATACTGGTACGAGTGCAGAGCAGGCGATTTGCCAGGTTCAGTCAAAGTCCAAATGGTTTCTTCTTCTTTAGGCTGAGAACAAAGGTAAAAGTTGACTTAAGAGTCCATTCCCTCACATGAACCACCTCGGATCTGTCCGAGCAGGGACATCAGAGAAACTGGCATCCTGTCATGATTAGATCTGCTCTTTAAAGGCTCCTTGTGCAGCGGTGGAGGCGGCGTTAGCAGCAGCCGTCTGGACTGTCTTGTTGGACATGACGCCTGTGGCAAACTCCTGCTGAGCCTTTTCAAAGCTGGCGCCAGTGGTGCGGTACAACATGTGGACCTGAGATGTGGACGAAAGAAACGGGGCGGTTCAGTGAGGACAGAAACAGACGAAACCTACAGTAAATATTTTCCACCTCTGTTGAGCATGTACCTTTTTGAACATGATGAGGGACAGGACAGCCAGCGAGGTAAAGAGAGCTGCGATCAGGATCATGATGATGCCCACTGGGATGCTTCTGTTCAGGGCCGTCAAAGCTGAGATCCAACCACTACGGACAAGATCATCGTTACAAACCAACACTAAACTGCTCTCCTGTAAACATCACTCCTTATTCCTCTGAACGTGACATGTGACCCGTCACATCGAAACAAGGACTAGTGCTATTTGGAGAAAAAGGCAAATATAGTGTTTTGACTAAAATGTTAACAAAAATTGCATTTTGTCAAAACAATGAATAAAGGCCTTATCAATGTATCATTTGAATGAACTGTCTGAAATATAATCATAAAACAAAAGTTTGAAGCAACTTTTTTGAGCAGTAGCAACAAAATAACCTGATTTTGAGGAAAAATGCCTTAAAATTTTAAGAATTTCCCTGTGAGCTAGCAAAGTTTTTTTTCTTTTTAGCTGGGAAATCTCATTATTCAAATACAATTTGAGGTTTCCTCTTTATAAGGACATCAAAAATTCCTCATTAAAATGACAAAATTAGGATTCAGACCAAATATTTATGTATTACTGTAACGAACAAGACAAATTAAGTCATATATATGGATTTAATTAGGATATCAGGATGATCCAGGTATCAAAATGTAGCTTTTAAAGTCAAGAATCTGAAAATGTAATTAGGTCATTTTGACCAAATTTGACTTAATCCTCATTTCAAAATGATGGGTCACATATGAAACAAGCCGATGCCTAAGTTCACCAAAAGATTTACTTCATGATGTTCTGAAATAGAGCTGTTGTTAATAACTTGCTAAAATTAAAACCTCGCAAGAGGCTGAATTTGAAATGGTCTCATCTGACAGGCAGTCAGGCGTCATTACTGATCAGAACTGGTCATTTAAAACTCTGTGAAAACTTGCTTTATACTTAGACTTAAATTTGCTTTCTTTTTTTAAAGAATAAACCTCACACAAGGAGAAATTAGATTTCTATTTACATTTTTTTGAGGACACTAAAAAAATACAGGTAACGGTTATTGCTTTTATTGGATTACAGTGATGGGCGGCACAGTGGTGCAGTTGTTAGAGCTGTTGAGGAAACCAGAGTACCCAGTGAAAACTAATGGGTGCACAGGGAAAAATGTGCAAACTCTACACAAACATGCAAACACTCTAACACTGCCCTGCAATGCTGCTGTTGGTTGTCCTTGTATGTCTACACTTATCCATTGGTTAGTTTTTCTGAAAAAATCTCTGCTTGTTCTATTACACTTTGATTTGTGTACAGGGTTAGGTTAGGGTGTGGTATGTTTAAATACCACAACCAGCAAATGTTTGACCACAGAGCCAGAACAAAATTAGGGGAAAATGTGTTTTAAATATGCTGCATTGATCCTGGAATAATTTTCAAAGAGACTAAAAATGGTCAGAAAAGGTTACCAGAAGGAAGTTTAAATCCATTTTGAAGAAGACAGAAAATAAAACTCTTGGACTGATTTTATGAGTGAGTCAGTGAGTGAGAGAGAGAGTCAGTCAGTGAGTGAGTCAGTCAGTCAGTGAGTGAGAGAGAGAGTCAGTGAGTGAGTGAGAGAGAGAGTCAGTGAGTGAGTGAGAGAGAGAGTCAGTGAGTGAGTGAGAGAGAGAGTCAGTGAGTGAGTGAGAGAGAGAGTCAGTGAGTGAGTGAGAGAGAGAGTCAGTGAGTGAGTGAGAGAGAGAGTCAGTGAGTGAGAGAGAGAGAGAGTCAGTCAGTGAGAGAGAGAGTCAGTCAGTCAGTCAGTGAGAGAGTGGTATAAACCCACCATCCAAATGAAATACACACTACTGTGATTAATAAATAATTTATATCTCACCTTGCACCCCAACTAGTGATCCCAATGCACTGCATAACATAAACCCCAAACTGACAGATGTAAACAAAGAAAAAGACAAAAAATCTGAAAGAGCTGTCACTCCTGCAGAAAGAAAACAGAGAGCATGAGCAACAGAGATATCACCGGGTTAGTTTATTGCTTGTGAATGTGAACAGACTCTGTACTGAACCGTTTACCTGAAGGCTCCATAAAGGGGTCTGTACCAACAGACAAAAGCACACGGAGTGAAGAGCAGAAGCCAGAGGATGGACAAACCAAAGTCCACTCCACGAGACGCATCCACACAGAACCAGGCCAGGCAGCCGAACATGTTGGCCAGGAGCGTTCCAGAGTGCACTGAGAGGGAAGAGGAGAGGGTTTACTCAACGACAGACAGCAAAGAGCTGGGGTCCTGCTACGTCCCATCAACAGAGCTGGGGTCCCGCTATGTCCCATCCACAGAGCTGGGGTCCTGCTATGTCCCATCCACAGAGCTGGGGTCCCGCTATGTCCCATCCACAGAGCTGGGGTCCTGCTATGTCCCATCCATAGAGCTGGGGTCCTGCTAGGATGAAAGCTCTTGGGTCCATAGTGTTCCAACGAGCTGATGGTTAGGGGAGTTGGGTGGAGGAGGACGACCTGAGAGTGTAGGTGGGGGTGTAAATGTGAAGGTCTGTGAGATGCTGGGGTGTGTGGGAGGTTACTGATGGCTTTGAAGATGAGGAGCAGGATTTCATGGGAAATGTGAAATTTGATGGGGAGCTGGTGAAGATGTTGTTGAGCAGGTGATTTATAGCTTCTGTCCATTGGCTCCCTGTCAAATCCAGAATAAATTTTAAAGAACAGCAGTACAGCTGGGTCAGAGGGTTGGACGGAGACGAGAAATGTTCCGGAGGTGAAAGTCTGCTGAATGAGTCATGTTCCTGATATGTGATTTAAATAATGTGTTGTCTAGGACGACACCCGGACTCCTAACCTGGGGGGTGGGGGAAACCACGGTGTTGTCAAAGAGAACAGAAAAGTTGCTGGTTTTTTTTTTTTTTTTTGCAAGACTGGATTTAGTAACAATGAGAAATTTTTTTAATTTTTCACCATTTAGTTTGAAGAAGTTGTTGGTGAACCAGGACCTGATATCATAAAGGCAGTCAGACAGTGAGGGGGGTGGGGGGTGGGGGTAGTGGGCAGAGCTGGATGTACTCCGTGAAACAATGAACTGGGAGATTATTTTGAGATTTTTCAGTTGATTTAAAGTATTCTTGAAGTGACCTGCCTGTTTTAATAGTTTTCAACAACACAAATTAAAGATCATTTAGTAAAATTGTTCCCATTTTTAGCTAAATTATAAAATGTTTCATAACCTTACTAGAATTTTTACTGGTATACTGGTGCGACTGCCTGTTTCATATCCTGTTAGTAATCTGTAGTTTTACAGACAGAACCTGGAAGAGGCTGTAATCATGGTCATTATTTTGTCAACATATAGAGGAGCACAACTGAAATGTAGAAGACGTGTTGCTTCCTAAAGAATGAGAAATGCAGATCATGACTTATTTTCTTATTGTGTATAAGCTATTTTGAAAGATTAAGTTGTGATTTAGATTAAATATAAAAGAAAACTTATCAATAAGACCTACTTTACAAATTATACATGTTGAATATTATACAAATGTTAATGAATAATTTTGAATTATTGTGTATCACTTTAATTTAAAGTTACAAACAACAAAGGAAACAAAATTATGATACTATGAGAGAACATGACAAAATCTTAAATATCTTATAATATGATGTCAAATGTCTCAGCCAAACAGACAAACAGATCATTCTGCAGTCATCTCTTCATTTGATCAACAGTTCTGGCTGTTTAATATTATCTGCTCCTTATATCCAATTAAAGTAGTAAATAACACACATTTCTTTTTTAATCTGGATTTTTATCTTTTTAAAAATGCATTTAGAAACAAACAGTCTATAAACAGTGTTTTCCAGGTCTGGATTACTTTGTATAAATATCAGTACAGAAAAACTTGAGGCTAATTCCATATTTTTCAGGACTCCATAAGAACTCTGAATCCATTTTAAAAAAAAAAGGAGGAAAAACACACTTTGTGTTCAGGTCAGTGTTCTGCACAGGGTTCACATAAAGTGAATGATGCATCATTATGGGTTGTTCTTTAGGTCCAAACAGTGACTTCACAGCTTTTCAACAACTGCTTACATAAAGCCCAATTGTGTGCAGACGTTTCTCTGCAGTCTGGTGTGAACCAAACATTAAGAGATCATCTGACTGAGATCTTTGATCAGGACACATGACTGCATGTGTGTCTGCCATGTGACGGCTGAACTCCACCTAAAGCCATTCAATTCCTGACATACAGCTAAACCATAAAAATCCCAGTAGAAGGCTGCAGAAGGAGGACACAAGAGGACTATGGGATAAATCTTGTGCCAGCAGGAATTCAATTTGAATTGCTCAGATTGAATCTGAATGGGCATAAATTGAAATTGAATGCATTGGTCTGAAAATAAATATCACTAAATTGGAACTGAATTTAAAGTTTTGAATTTGAAATAATTTGCTTTGAAACTGTATTTTGGTTTATTAAAAATTCAGTTT